CCATATTTTAAAATAGTGATTCTCAACCACAGCACCCTGGGTTGCCTTGAGATCATTTTAAGGTACCCCAGTGTACAGCATTATACTGCTGGGCATGTAAATATGCTTCACAAGATAAACCCAGAGATTTCAAATAGGAATTCACAGGGTTAAAAACAATCTGAGCTACTGTGGTCTTTTTGAGTTCTTTACAATAGAAAAATTGTTATATTATTTTTCTGTTGTCAAAAAAGCAAGTGAAAACTAAGAGGGGACATTTTCTGAGGGGTGCTGCAAGTAGTCTAAAAAGGTTGAGAACCACTGGCATAAAGGGTGAGGTTAAGAGTTAGTGTCCAGGAAAAACCTACCCCAATCATAAATAAACTCTAGCCTGGCAATTATGTCCAAGAAATTTGGATCTGTTCACCACCAAAACTATTGCTTTGAACCTGAATATGAACACAGAGACACAAAAAGACAGATTAAAATATCATGAACAGGTTTTATTAAATGTCTTTGACACTGTTCCTGACAAATGAAACCAAATACTCTCAGACGCATCATTTTCTACTCTGATGACAAGGCATAAAGGAGATAACTCTTGTACACAGGAGATATTAAACTATCCCTAAATATGAAGTAGCTTCTAACTCCATTTTCCACATCTGTATCAGAGCTGCTGCCTTCAGTTTGGATTGAATTACTGAGAGGCAGAATCTGGGAGGGGGAGAGTTATGTTGGCAGATGGTCCATTGTCCTCCTCCTTTTGTTCACTATTGTTTGATTTCTACAGAACTATCTTGTATCTTAGCACCTAATTAAAATCAGGGAGTTAGAACATGTGCCCAATGGAAGAAGGGGACAGGTTTAGTTATTAGGGCTCCTGTCGGGAAACAAATTTGTATTTCCACAGGGTAAGAGAGTAAAGCTTCTGTGATATGAAATGTTTAGAGATAAATACGCTTTGACTATCACCAACACCACTTTGTGGAGAGCAGGACAGGTGGAACTTTCATCAGTTTTCAAATGCACAAAAAAAGGTGACAAACAAAAATCTACCAGAGAGAGAACAAGAGTTGTGAATGCAGGGGACAACTCTGTGCAACAGCTATTGTATACATCAGTGTCACACAGTAATCAAGGATTTTACCAGCTCTTGAAGTGACAATGAGCTACTACAGAGACATCACAATCTGCTGCTGGATACCTTCTCAGTCCCCTAAAGACCAGGGCTGCTTCAGAAAACAAAACTGTAGTGTAGTTAACTTAATCGAACACTACAAGACAGAAGAGCTTTCCTCTATCCTCCATCACTACTAAGGGAAGTAGCCTCCAGTAACCTAGAATTGGCAAGTCCTACTGGATCCTCAGTGGATAGTGGGCAGATGCTGCTAGGAAAAGAAAAATCACCATCATGCTCCCTTATTGCTCCTACTGAAAACAGTACATTAGAGTGCACTTCTCTGGCTGCCCCATTCATCTAGTTCCTGATTTGCAGCTCCAAACTTCACAGTTGTGGGGGTCTGTATGTGGGCAGGGTGTGGAGCAAATGGTTTCTATGCATATCAAGACTGGAGAAATTAATATCCAGCAAAATTTAAAATTACAAACCTAGCAGGCAGTATATCTACTAGTCTTGGTTTCTTCGTGTCCCTTCATTTCATGGCACAATACCTCTACAATCTTCCTCTTAAAAGGAAATAGGTGCATTACCTACCTGTTACCACATGCACAGAATCCTCTTCCCTAACCATTCCTAACTGTTTTCAAGTTAGGGTCCTGCCTGGTGGTGTTTGATGGCAGTGGAGGGGTGGGGGAAAGAACAAAGTACTAGGTCAAAAAAAAAGCTGCCATAAATTCTTTCCTGCACTGTATGCCATTTTAACTATCTAAGATTACTGTTGTGCTCTTCTGTCTGCCTGAACTTCTCCATATGATACCCTGATACCACCGAACTCCAAAACTGGAAAAAACGTCAACATGTTACTTCTCCTGCCAAACCCTTCCCTCCCCTTCCCCGTTAACAACTCAGTTATCCTCCCTTTCACCTACTTCTTCTTCCAGGTCAACTTTATGCTTGGAGTCCTCCCACCACCCCCATTAAATCTCTCCCTCCCCAATTAATCCCCTTGCCCCTGATGCCAAATTACAAGAGTTTTTCCACTCATATCCCTCCTGAAAACACCCTTTTTAAAGTCCTGGAGAATTCAAATGAAAAGAAAAAAATATCTGTTCTGCTTCAAGATTAGGTTTAGTGCATTATCTAAAATAGACGAGACCATTTCTTGCTTGGTTGGAGAAGTACTAAGTGCACTGAAGGAGGATTAATCATGGGTGTGATCTTGAACAATATTGACACCCGTAACTCCCACAGACCTCAGGGTTGGGCATTCTCTACACATCTCAGGATTCAGATCCAGCCAGCTGAGTACAACATCAGGGATTTCCTCCACCCCAGCTGCCAAAAAGAACTATTAATATTTTTACCATTTTCCCACCATGGATAAGCTTATGTGCTGACCTTTAAAGTGTGCTAAAGGACTTAAATAAATGGAATGAAAATACCAGTAACTCCATATGACCTTACTTGTGTTATCTGTGACCAAGAAAGTATAATTGTAGAATTACAACAGAAACTACTTTTCTTTTCCCTCACTAAGTAAAAGATGTGTGAGAAAGCAATGGCAAGGATCACTGAATCAGCGAAACTATATGGGGAGGCCACTAAGTATTCTCATCACATTCGTAAGGTGATGCAGGACTGTCCCTAGGAAAGGAGATGCATTGCATGCCAATGTTTTTTGCTTTATCCACACAAGGTCTCATACTTTTTGATTTTGCCGCATGAAGATGTTTTGGGTTAAGCCCAGGATGAAACTATATTCCTCAAAGGGAAGAAAGTGGAAAATTATATTTTTCTGCAGCATAGTCAGTCTGAAACAATAAAAATTAATGAAGGAGGAAGTTGAGCAGGTTAGGTACAGGTGCCGCCAGCTTGAAGGTACTGTGGATCAGCTTACAAGCAATGATTCATCAAATCTGTGGAAGGGATGAACTTGCAAAAACTCTCTCTATATTTTAAATAAAGGCATAATGAGTACAGATCTATGATGCTTATGGCCATTTGGAGATTTTACAAACAGGGACAAATCTCTTGAGCTTTTCAATTGTACTAGCTTTCAGTCAGCTTAAACCCTTATTTTGAATCTGCACAATCCATGCCTTCTTCCCCTTAGCCACATACCAAGAAAGCTAGACTTCTATGCCTTTTCCAGGTATGTCTGATATTCTAAAGTAGAGAAGTAAGGGCAGAAACAGAAGGACTGAAGAAACATGATTTGAAAAAGAGCTCAAGAGAAGAACCCATACAAAACATTCTTTTCAATACCCTTTGTGAATTGGTGTTACTTTCTTTCACAATTTGTATCAATTTTTTCCTATGGGTGTATCACTATGCAGAAGATGCATGTTCCTATATATATAAAACCATGTTCATTGCTCATTCCTATTAATAAAGACAGATCAAAACAACAATGGCAGATTAGGTATAGATCATGCATTGTTTTCTAAATAACTGAGCCATACTTTTCCATTCTTATTTCAAATTTCTTTAAAGATGAAAATCACTGACTTATTGCTATAGTACCATTAAGGAGCCTAAACCTGATCCCCAACTCAAAACATGCCATGTTTACAGAGTAGAACTAAATTGCATGACTTCAGCCCATAGCAAAAATTGCTTGAAGACTTTAACAACTGTTTACAAGACAGTCTGATTGCAAATGAAGTTATCTTTATTCTATTTTGCTCTTAAAGAATAGCTTATCTGAGCATATTGCTTGCTGAGACGCACAAAGCACCATGGCTTGTTTTGGGCTGCAGCCATTCAGTCTCATGCTGCATCTGTGTCTAGTGCCATCAATCTTTTACCACTAGAAGCACAATTAATCACGGTGGTTTTTCAGGGGGAAAAAAGGCAAAAATGATAGTAATTTTTATAGAAAGTACTGTGTGGTATTCCATCAATGACAGTCATTTTTCTTCCCAGTATATAGTAACAGATTTTCTTACACTGAAAACCTGTCTGCTACCGTGGCATACCAGAAGTACAGTAATTCTGAAACATAGACAGTCAGCTCAGATCTCACACAAATAAGCAGAATCTGCTAATATATGCTGCACAAGGCAATTAATGTCCCTTTGTTAGTATCTGGAGAAAGGAATTAACTAATAGTATAGATTATGAAGAGATGCAGGGGGAAGAGGTAAGCTAGGTATGCTCATTTTCCAGGTTATTTTCAGGATCATCAATTAGTTTTACACACAGTACATAACAACATCTCACGACCAAATCTTTAGGGCAGTTTTGTTACAAAGGACAGAAATCCAAGTGACTTCAACAGCAGGGCTGACTGAATGAATAAGCACTAACATAAGGATTTCAGGATTTAGTGTGCAGAAATTGGTTATAGAGGGCAAAGACTTATTCATACAGTTCAGTCCCTCTGGCTATACACCCCATGCCCCTGGGTACAGCTGTCCACTGCTAGTTTTATAGGGTCTCATCATTAAAGTTATTCTCCTTGTTTGTACATTTGTTTATTTGGATTTTAGTTTTACTATTTATTCAAGCAAAGCTCCCGCTCAAGTTAATGGAAGTTCTGCCTGAACAAGGACCCTAGGATTTTTGCCCAATACACATCCAATACATCCACTGATTCATCTACATCTTTCACAGCTTTTCTTACACATTTTATAAGCCAGCATTTTTTAAGTTAAATATCAAAGACTAAAGAAAGAGAGAGACACAGAAGGAAGCCAAGCTACAGACTGAGCTCTTTTTTTAATCCATAAGGTAATCAGTTTTCTGGAGCACTAACTGGATTTCCCAAATTTAATTTTAAAAGATGCTCCATAATATCCATTATAGCAAACACTGTCCTGCAGATTTGATTAGCAGGCTCTCTGGACCTGCTTATTTCTGAATTGAAAGTGCAGTACAGCCTAGATAAATGAATTACCTGAGCAGCGGAACTTGTGGCTCTTGATCTGACCGATTCGTTTGTTGGCAAGGCGACGCGGATTGCTGCATCGAGCGCCGCTGGTTTCTATCGGATTATTCTTCAGGTAATCAGCCAGCCACTTCAAATGGCAGTCGCACACAAATGGATTCTGAGCTAAATGTCTGCAAGAAGGATGGGATGTTTAATCAGAAGTGACCTGTGACACTGTATTCCATCATTGTTTTTCACAAACGCAAACCTGAAGAGTAGAGTAATTGAATAAGCTTCCAAAAACCGAGGCCTAGCGGAAGCCACATGGAGCTACACATGAATGGAAGAAATTCTGTGAGCTATCGTATTTCGTAGCTCATTAAGCCTGCTGCAAGTCCTCTCTCAGAGGAAACAAAAATTAATAAAGCAAAGCCTGCTTTAAAGGACACAGACCTTCTGTCTACAAAGGCCAGTGTTTTCTCTTGAGAGTCTGACATGATGCACTCTAATAGAAATGCATCTTTTTAGAAACACCTGACTTTAGAGAATACTTTGTGTCCTCGTTTAAAAAGAAGTTTTATTGACCAGCTCAACTTCTTAGGGATCAAAATATGAATAAGTAAAAGAGAGTGCCTTGAATAAGCGGGTAAAGCCACAAATGAAGGAGGTTCTCTCCCAAGAGTAAAATTAATATTGGCATATGCTAATAGAAATTTTCTGGCATCTGTTTCCTTCTGGACCTGAAATTTTTTTACTTTTCAGGACAGACTGATCATGCAAAAGAGGCTGTGAGTTTATATTTCACCAAAGTCCTTGTGAAATTCACCAGTCCAATTCAAAATTCAAGTTATAGGGAGGCCTTTTTTCCCAGACATACAAACTCAAGTGATAAAAGTCCCCTGGTTCCAGGGGTATAGGTTGTAGCCATGCTGGCCAAGGACATAGGCAGACAAGGTTCTCTGGATAAATCTTTTATTAGACCAACTAAAATAATTGGGAAAATTCTTCTTTGCAAGCTTTTGGGTACAAACACCTTTTGTTAGGCTGAGGAAGCACCTGCAGTTGGTCTGTGCTCTTCCTGGATGGAATAGAATAGAAGCTAGTGGTCCCCTGGATCATTTATAGGTATTGTAGGTAAAGGCCCCCCACTCTTCCCTTCAGGCTCCCAGAATTAAACCCAAAGTTTCTGTTGTTGTCTTTCCTTGGTGTTGGTCTCAGCAAAACAGAAAGTAAGTGAGGTTTCAGGGTTTTCTCTGAACAAGCTGCTGCTTCTACTGAAATCAACGGCAAAACTCCTATTTTCTTCACAGGGTGAAGGACGAAATGTCAAGAAGTCTGATGGGGGAACAGAGTATGGAAAAGAGCTATTTCTAAGCAGATGGGAGGATATTCTCCTGAAGAGTCCTAAGTTTTATGTATGTATGGTTTTAGGTTTTCATCTCATATTCCACCCATACTAAACTTATATTGTTTTCTATCACCAGGTACTTTTAGGAACTGCAGTTTAATGAAACAAACATAACAGGGTTGTGGCAGCCAGAGGAAGCAAAAGCAAACTGGTGTGAAGAATGGGGAAGAAAAAGAAATGCTTGACAGAAATAGCTGAAAAAACTAAATATTGTTGCTGCATTGAGGATGTGGAGTAAGCCTACATGGGTTTTGGAAAGTCCAAAAGCTAAACAGAGCACACACTATGACCAGGAAATGGGACCTGCTCAGTGCTTAAAAAAGACAAAGCTGCAGTCACCTAGAATACCAACACCATGAAAATGACCTGAAATGTGATAGAAGACTGCCTCACTGGGATGCAGCAAGGACAGCTAAATAACCCCTTCTAAGGGTTGTTATAGACATGCTCCAGGAGGTGGCCAGGGGAGGGGGAGGGTGCTTTAATTAGTGTACCATGCTAATTAAAAGCACCTAAGCATTACACGTATCAGCGTCCCCGCACTGAAAAATGGTGGTGGGATGCTTTGAACTAAAACTCATTATACAAACTTTAGTTTAAAGCGCCCCACCACCATTTTTCAACATGAAGATGCCAGAACACCTGATACTGGAGGCTGCTGGAACGTGTTAATTTCCACACTCCGGCAGACTTGATTAATTGAGTCTGCTCTGATATGCTGGATTTACAGCACATCCGAGCAGCCTTGCTACATGTTTATAGGAGTCCTAAAAGACTTAATAGTTGTTTAAAGAGTCACACAATCTGGCAGGCATTTTTTTGTAGCTTAAAATTTATCAGATTCATCAAGTCAAATTTACTTAGATCACTGGATTGTATGCACCTCTCCTATTTGCTGCAGAGTCATATTAGTAAACTTCTTTATATTAAGTTCTCTCTCCTGTTTATGTATATGCATTTGCTTTATAGAGATATAAAACTGACACATGAATATACATATTGTTTAATGTTTATATTAAAGTCTCCACAGCTTGGAACAAAAATGATGGCCATTTATTAGGGACAAATTATGTTTATGCTCATGGTTCCTTGAGGCCTATTGCTACAAATAATCATTGTACTTTAAGTTTTTAGGTGAGCAGATGCATACACAAAATGCATTTTCAGCGTTGCAATGTAGATATATGTATACACACACACATGCGTACGTGCAGCAATATTTTCTAAATGTGACCACCACTGTACTGTGGAGGAGTGTTATCTTTTTTGTGCAAGTTGTCAGAGCTCTCCTACAAAATATCTGCTTTGTATTTAGGAAAACTAAGGGGTTTGTGACCCCTCTCATAGCCCTAATGCTTTATGTGTTAATGGCCAAAGACTCAAATAAAATGACTGATGGATATATATTAAAAATTAATGTTTTTACATGGGGAGAAGGATTAATGACTGGCAGTGATACGAAGTTACTCCACACCTGGAAAGTCCATTTAAATATATTTTCCACACTCACAAGTTGTACAGCTTATGTTAGCCTTCCATAAGGATAAATATTGAATACCTTAGCTTACAGAAAACCATTATGCAATGTTTTAGAATGCAGGTAGTCTGCTGTGCATATATTGTGCATAGTTAAATGCATATATTTACAGCCCTCCTTATAGAAAACCACTAAATGTCCCTGAATGAAACATTTATATAATTTAATACACTTAGGACATTTATATGATAGAAAGGAAGACAGAACCCAGTAGTATTTGGCAGTAGTGAATCAATTCTGTATTTTACTGGTTTTTGTATCTTTTATTTCTGACACAAATGAGAAGCTACTGGCCTTGGGTTTCTTAAGAATTGTCTTAATGCCAGATGAAAAGTGTCTACAAAGACAAGGAAAATCTTTGGGGAAAAGGGGGAGCTGTCAGTTGCCTGTATACTCACAGAGTCTCGATCGATCGGAGAGGTGCAAAGAGCCCTTTACTGATGGTCTGTAGTTTGTTGTCATAAAGAGATAACAGGTTGAGATTATGCAGACCTTGGAACGTGTTTACCCTCAGGCAGTTGATCTTATTGGCATTGAGAAGCCTGAAAGCAGAGGAAAGGTTTATAATTCATTAATCTTGTAATTACCAAATAAAGAGAGGCTGAACTTTGGGGTTAACCTCAAAAATACAAAAACAGTGAAAACAAGTCTTTTGAAGTGTAAGAGCTTTGGTTTGCCTGCTACCTTAAAAGCAAGAAAAAGAAAGAAAAAAATCATCAAATCCAGGATCATACTGAAATTTATGGCACTAGATAACTAAAAATATTTACCAAGATGTTTTGTGCAAATACTGTCCACACAATCTCTACAGAATTCCGTACAACTATTTAGGTCCCAGGGAAAGGTTTTTGCCCACATCATGTTATATAACACCCCACCAAGAGAAAGAGAGCATGTGAGAGGGAGCAAGAGAGAAGCAAATAGCATCCTCACTCCATACAATACCTTTTATACATGAAGTTCACTAAAAAAAGATGACAAGGCACTTCTTTTAACCGAGTCCCTCTGTAGTTGTTAAAACTCCATGTGAAGCTTCTGAAGTTCTAACACTTCAGTGTGGTAATGGGGTAGTTAATAGGGCTGTGTGAAGCTTTGGTCCCTGATTCGATTCGGCGGAGATTTGGCCCGATTCAGTGGCTGACTCTTCAAATCCAAATACAATCAGGAGACCCTTTAATCCCTCCGAATTGATATGGAGAGATTCAGAAAGATTTGGCGATTCGGATATAAACAGTTTTAAATGTTTTTTCTACATACCTCAAGGCACCAGGTGGCTTGTGAATGCTGTGATGCTGGGGAGACAGGGTGTCCCACAGGAAAGGGGGGGGGGGGGGGTGCTCTCCAGCACGTTCAGCAGCAGACCTGGAAGTGGACCAGAAGGAGACCAGAAGCTTGGCGACTGGTGCCTCCTAGGTCTGGGGAGTGGTAACTGGGGTCCCCCCGTGGCCTATAACTGAGCCAGGAAGGTGCAGGGGGCCCCAAGCACACACAGCAGCGGACCCATAAGTGGACCAGAAGTACTTTCAGTATACTTGCAGGTACACTTCCAGGTACACTGCAGAGCACGCGAGGACCCCCTCCCTGCACTCCTGTGGGACACTCCATCTGTCCCAGCATTGCAGTGTTCACAAGCCACGCTGGTACCTCGAGATATGTAGAAAAAACATTTAAAACTGTGCCTACGACCCAATCACTGATTCTCTGAATCAGCACTGAATCTTCAGATTCGGATTCGGCCAAATCAAATCAGGGACAGTGATCTGAATCAACGAATCAAATCACTGTCCCCAGTTCAGGCTGAATCCAAATCTGAATCGAATAGGGCCTGTTTTGCACACCCCTAACAGTTAACCCCATTGAGACAATAAAGAAGATTGGAGTCTCTCTTGAGAAATAGGAAGCTAGGATAGTAGGATCTGGAATTAAAGTCTATATTATGCAGGGGTTGGCAATTTATCGCTTGTAGGCCAGACCTGGCCCACAGAGTCACTTTATTTGGTCTGCAGAACTATAGAGTTTTGGTGGCATTTCTATTGTGTGGGTCTTTACTTGGATGGGAAGTGACAGTGATGGTGGCACTGTGGCAGGGAGCAGTGATGGTGCCTGAGACTCTGGCTCCAGCTCCAGTGGCAATAGCAAAGGTCAGTTTGGAAGCAACCCATTCTTGGAACTAAACTCCTTGCTGCAAAACACAGCCACCCCCTGTGGGGAGAGTCAAGCTCACTTAGTGTTTGTTGTGGTCGGTTAGGTTTGCATTACAAAATATTGCTGGAATAGCTATTTCAGTTGGAGTGTGGAATACATGAAACTCCAAAACAACACATGAGTAAAGAGAGGTAGTTAACCATTTTAGTCTCAAGTCAGGCAGAACACAGGGCAGTATGGCAACTTGAAGACTAATTAGCTAGTTTCTAGGGTGCCACTCTTCTCTGTCTGGCTGTATGTAGCATGAATATTGAGAATATATTCATTACCAAACAAAGCATAAGATTGACATTATGCTTATTAAGTTCCACTGTTACTGGTTTCAGTCTACAACAAGCATTTTCTTAGTAAAATATCTGGCTTTAAGTTACTAGCTGCATTTGTGGGGCAGGGGTGGAGAGGACCAAACAGCAGTGGGAATAAAGACAGCTAGGATTCATACATGGATCCCATGTTAGAATGACAGAGCCTTTCTTTAATTATGTCAGGTTCCTGTGCAGGTGTGCAAGGGAAATATTGTGGAAAAAGCATCTGATTTCCCTCTCCCATTTATACCCTACACAGGCTGCAAAATAATCAGAATTTTAGTCCTTTTATCCATAAAATTAATGCAGTGTGGACAACAGCTCTGTAAGCATCCTCACATCATCCAACTAAGCTTTCTTCACCATCCATCAACTCTAACACATAAGGACAATCTCCATCAGTACTAGCATAATAAGTCTTTATTTCCATTCAGTCCCTGGCCTCCCTTCTGTGACTGCCAAACAGAAGCTCATCCATGCCATCGTTGTCCACTGTGTGTAAATAGATGCTTTTCTATTAGAACTGGAGTGAGACTGCCTGCTCATTTCTCCTTAGACATTCCTCTCTCTTATCCTGAGCCAGTTCCCAGACCATGGCTTACATATAAAATCATGGTAGTCAGTACCAATCAGTACCTTCTTTAAAAAAAATTCTGCTAGTTTTCAAATTGATACAGAACCTTCAAAACCTCAGGGTGTCTTGGTCTAAGTTTTTTTCCACATACTTATTTTCTCAAAGAATGTGACAGCTTTCTATTTTTTGAACAGATGTCTATCTATATAGAAATGATTCAGTAGAATTTTCTTTGGGTCTTAGTGCTTTGTGCTCAAAAGCTTGCCAAACTTTTCTCCCAGCTATACAATGGTCCAATAAAAGCTATCACAAAAGAACACTTGTCTCTTTTACATTTAGTGGATCATGAGAGCTACAACAAAACTCCAACCCTCCTCAGTAGTATTTGGCATCCAACCTATGTGAAATTGATCTTTCTGTTTAACTTAAAGGATCTATCAAAGTTATCTGCAAAACTTCTTAATGATCAGAGCCTGCTAAAATACAATGCACTAATCAATGACTTTCTTATTTGTTAAACAGACTGAGAGAAAGGGCAATACGGGAGTCTGAATTCAACTAGAGTCTCACAACTAACACAGCTGAGTACTGTCCAACATATGAGAAAAACAGGCAATTTAGAAGCAGGCCTTGTTGCTCTTTTATTTCAGCAAAGTATGCTTGGCAGTGCATGCTTAATGCCATCTTATCTTTCAGCTGTATGAAGCTTTTCATATGGAACACACTCATCATTACTCAATACTCCCAATTTTATTTTGGTGTTGTCATGATATCGGCAACTGAGAAGCTACAGAAGTTTTGTTACAAAATACTTGGTTGCAATACCTGGAAATGGTGGGCTCTTTTCTCAAGGATTTATAGTGTATAGATCTTTGGTGCAATAATATGTCAGAACACAGCTCTCCCATTTAACTGAGAAAAAAAATCAATATTAATTCACCTGGATTTTCTTCCTGATGCAGACTACTTGGCCTGGGGGATGGGAGAAAGTCTAACAGAAGTAACTGAAGGATAAATGCAGTCAGTTCTTGAATGAACAAAGAACTTAGAGTATTTTATGAAATCAAGATCTTTGTCTCAGAAAACAAGACCAGTCTGACCCTAAGCAGCTTAGAGTTCTGTGGCTGGCAGTTATGTGGCATAAAATCCAAGATGTTACTTGACGCTAGCCATATTACCTAACATGAAGATAATTCTCACGTTAAGGTACCTGAATAATTTCTCCAGCGTATTAGGCCTGTTGAGACTTTGTTTCAACAGCAGGCACTTACATCACCTATAAGACCTTTTTCTTATGGTCTTTCATACATCCAAGACAAAGCAATCTCCATTATTTCTGAGCTCTCACACAGTATGCCTTTCTCTTTCACGATGGTCTCTTTATAAAACACAGGTCAATACTTTATAGTAGGTAGTGTAATATAGGTTGAATTTAAGTTTCAAACTACTCTTCCAAGTATGCACTTACTCTTTTGAACTCTTATCTTTTCTATCCTTGCCTAACTTCTCCACTTACCATTTTCCTTCTTTAATGTAACATTCACTCTCAGTTATGCTTGTATGGAATTCCACCACAACACAGAGGCCAATTGGGATTACAGCAATATAGGTGAGCCCCTTTCTTTTGTAATGGGGAACTAATTTGCCTTCAGATACAAATTTGGAGCCTCTGTACTGTGCTTTCTGACACTCCTCTGGCTCTCTTGGAATCTCTCTAATAGCCCTTTATAAAACTTCCATACTTGCTGCCACTGAGTTCTGCTACTTCTGCTTTAAATCACTATGAAGTTGATGCTGACATGGGACTCCCATAGCTGTGTAAATGTTCTCTTCATTTGTGCAATATGACAATGATTGTCGTTTATCTGATCATCTCAAAAAGCACTCTGATGTCAGCTTTTGACTCTGTTAGCTAAAATGATCTTTTTAATATAAATCAGGATACTTCTCCATCCTCATGCATGCCACACTTTACTGATTTTCTGCATTAGGAGCTCTGTATTAATGAATGAAATGATTTTCTTCCATTAACTTGTACAGATTTAAAACAAGCCCTGAACCCAGTGCATGCACTACAGCAACAGTAGCATGAGAAATGGGAGTATCAACACGGGAAAGAAAGTATCTTAAAGGAAGTTCTCTAACCTCAAGTAAGACTAAGATAGAAGCACATGCTTCAGAGCCCACTCAACCGGTCCACAAAAGAACCACACAAAAAGAGATAGAGCAGAATGATGCTAATTTACTGAGAAGCTCACTGAATGATTGACTTTGACAAGTCTGTAGGCCAGTTATAAAGTAGGGAAAAGGCAATGTAAAATGCTCTTTGTGTCTTTTGTTAGTTGTTGTTTAGCTGTAATTAGTTCCTCAGTTCTTAGTGCTAGAATTAGGAAATTATTAATATGGCATATGCTGTTCAACAAAAATGATTTAAAAAATCTTGGTTATATAAGACCTC